GACAGGATTGAACTGAACAAGTTCCAGATTGGCAGTCTTACCAAGCTGTACAGATTCTCAAAAGAGAAGATTGCCATGGAAGACTCGGAATTTGAGCAGAGCGAGGAAACCCAGAAATCTGGCGCCCGTACCCCTGGTCAGGTGTTGACCGAAGCCCAGAAGAACATCAAGGTTGGCTTCAGCAAGTTTGGTGACATTGCTGGAAAGGTTGCTGGAGACTTCACTGGTCGCCAGGTAACCAACAGCGGCCACCCTCACCAGGTCGTACTGCAGCTTATCAGTACCACGAGTGGCGCCCAAGTACTGGCCCGCCGCTTGTACCGCACCTTTGCACGACCTGAAACTGAGACTGTACACTCCGAGGACCTCAACAATGCCTTTGACAGTGACGAGGAGGCTACTGCTGCGTTTTCCATGTTCGACAAAGACATGAACGGCGACATTTCAATGGAAGAACTTGAGGCAGTCTGCGTGGAGATTGGTCGTGAACGCAAGTCCATTACTGCTTCTCTCAAGGATCTCGATAGCGTCGTCTCCAAGCTGGACGATGTCTTCGTCTTCATTGTGGTCGTTATCACCATCATTGTCTTCATCTCGCTCATTTCGACTTCGGCTGCTGGTGTACTTACGTCTGCTGGTTCAGCTCTTCTCGCCTTGTCCTGGCTCTTCTCCGCTACCGCCCAGGAGTTCCTACAGTCGTGCATCTTCGTCTTCGTCAAGCACCCTTACGATGTTGGTGACCGTGTCACTGTGTACGGTAACACAGGTGATCTCGGTCGCGGTGATGACTATTTTGTCAAGGAAATCGCCCTCTTCTACACGGAGTTCAAGAAGATGCAAGGTCATATCGTTCAAGCGCCCAACAGCTACCTCAACACTCTCTTTATCCTTAACCACCGTCGTTCTGGAGCTCTCGCCGAAGCCATCCCTATCATCATCAAGTTTGGTACCACCCTGGAGCAGATTGAGCGTCTCCGCAACGTCCTCCTCGAATTCGTTACATCTGAGAAGCGTGAATACCAGACCAATATTCTTACTGAACTCCGCGCTGTCCAGGAGGTCCACTGGCTCGAACTCAACGTCGTCTTCTTCTACAAGTCTAACTGGCAAAACGAACTGCTCAGGTTGCAGCGTCGCAACAAGTTCATCTGTGCGCTCACCATGGCTATTCAGGAATGCGAAATCGAAGGCCCCCGCATGCGTTACCCCGGTCAAAAGGAATCGTTCCCCGTCTATCTTCAAAATCTACAGAACCCTGCTACACCTGGTGTTGGCATCAATGGCACACCCGATCAGCCCAACGGCCACATCCGCAACGAGCCACAGGACCAGCCTTTTGTAGCACCAGCCCCAGAAAACGGTGCCGAAAGCGTGCCTCCCACATCTGCAGGCACCGGTCCTACTCGCCACGGCTCCATCCTCCGTCAACCCGGTACAAGAGCGGCCCCCGAAACCCTCTCAGCAATGGGCCGCCGTGTCGACTTCTCCCTCGGCATGAAATCCATCGGCCTCGACGACCCCAGCGGCGACGTGCTCGAAGACCGCGAAATGGAATCCCGCACCCGCGCCACCGTCGTCCGCGTCACGTCTCCCAGCCACAGCCAAGACCGCAACGGCCGTGGCTCCCAAGAAAGCGGCCGCAGCACCAGTCTCCAGCGTGTAGGCACAAACGCCTCGTCCACTATGCGCGAGCGCACCCACCGCAACCGCTTCTTCTCCCGCAACCGCCACGGCAACGATGAGGAAGCTGCCATGGCTGATATCCCTGAAGCAACCGATTACGATACCCCGCCTCGCACCAACACGCTCGATCCACGATCCGGTCTCGTTTCTTCAGCTGCCGTGCGTGACGCTGCGTCTCTCTCGGAAACCCACTTGCGACCCGTACATAGCATAGATAACCCCGGTGTATCTGGAGCACTACCCCCCAGTACCGCGGATTCAGAACGGACCTTTCGTCCACCCGCAAGGTCGCGCACTGAAGGGTTCGAAATGAGACGGTTCCATTAAGCCCCTTGTTTATCCGCTTTTCCCTTAAAAATCCTAGGGAAGGTGAATAAAAGCGGATGGGATATCTTTCTTTTTTTTCCTTTTCTTGTACATTCCACACATTCACATCCTTTTCTTTCCTCTTTCTCATACGAGATTGCGAGATTTATAGCACATTAGATTTGTCTTTTTCTACCTCTCTCTCTCACTCACTAGTTTGAGCAGGGAAGCTATTCAAACGAGAAATAAAGGAAGAAGAAGAAGATAGTCGTTTGGAAACAAAAATGACCATCGGGATCTCTTTGTTCTGGGAAATTGAGAAGGAAGGGCATTAAGCATTAGTATTAGTTATTTGGTAGAGCCAAAAGAGGCAGCGCGCCAGGCTTTTGTTTTTTTCATAGTCATTATACCATCTTTCCATATCTAGTCTGATGGACTGGTATCGCCTGGAAGATAATCCATAGATTTTATAATTACTATTGGACTTGTCATGTCTTTTCTGGTGCAGTGTGATCACGTGAAGAGCAATTGTACTAATTAGATTCCAACTAGCGTGTAGGATAAACTGACAACATGTGCATCAGATTTGACTTTGAGTCTGTCACAACAAAAATATTTAGAAGAAACGAATTAAATAATGATCAACCTCAAAAATCTTCCATTCAAGACGTCGATTCACCTGCAGAACATGGCGATCAACACTGCAGCATCCAGAAGTCTTTTGCTGATCCCAGCACATACGCTTGGTAATCACTTCACTCCATCACTCCACATGCATATTTGACAACATTTAGTACTCGCCCTCCTCAACACCCTCGTCATCGAGAGAGTCGTTGGCAACCTCTTCATAATCCTTCTCCAGCGCAGCCAAATCCTCACGGGCCTCGGAGAACTCTCCTTCCTCCATACCCTCACCAACGTACCAGTGAACGAAAGCACGCTTCGAGTACATGAGATCAAATTTGTGGTCAAGGCGAGACCAGGCCTCGGCAATGGCAGTCGTGTTGCTAAGCATGGCAACACTTCGGTCGACAGAGGCAAGTTCGCTTCCGGGAACGCTGATGGGCCTGTATCTTGTTAGTGGGGATGGATAAAACGAAAGGCGAGAAACATACTTGGTGTAGTTGATTCCGAGCTTGAAACCAGTAGGGCACCACTCAACCAAGTTGAAGGATGACTTGGCCTTGAGAGCACCGGCGGCAGCCGAGCAGTCGCGGGGAACAATGTCACCACGGTACAGAAGGGCGACAGCCATGTACTTTCCGTTGCGCGGGTCACAGACAACCATCTGGTTGTTGGGCTCGAAGCCTATTCAAATCAGCAAGGCGCATACGCATAGTTGTTCATGAATAAAGAACGTACACTGGAAGGTAAGGTCAGAAACCTTGAAGCTCTCGTGAGAGCTCTTCTTGGCCGAGATGACAGGAGCGTAACTGATGAGGGGGTAGTGGATACGGGGGTATGGGACCAAGTTGGTCTGGAACTCGTTCAGATCAACGTTGAGCGCACCATCGAAACGCAGACTGGAGGTGATGGAGCTGACAACCTGAGCGATCAGGCGGTTGAGGTGCTCGTAGTTGGGGCGGGGAATGTCCAAGCTGCGTCGGCAGATGTCGTAGACAGCCTCGTTGTCGACGAGGAACGTGCAGTCGGAGTTCTCAATGGTGCTGTGTGTTGAGAGAACGGCGTTGTAGGGCTCGACGACGGAGGTGGAGACGCGAGGAGCAGGGTAGACGGCGAATTCGAGTTTGCACTTCTTGCCGTAGTCGGTCGAGAGGCGCTCAAGCAGGAGAGCACCGAATCCAGAACCAGTACCACCACCGAACGAGTGGAAGATGAGGAAACCCTGGAGGGAAGAGCAGTTGTCTGGCCATGTCAGCAAATGGAATAGATTGGCGATGACGAGAGTGCTCACCAGCAACGCGACGGATCTTCTCAATCACGCTGTCAACCATCTCCTTGCCAATAGTGTAGTGGCCACGAGCATCTGCTGTCGTTAGTGACGTTGCATGCCCGACACGTTTTCCAATACGCACAGTTGTTGGCAGCATCCTCCTTGCCGCTGATCAAAAGCTCGGGGTGGAACAATTGGCGGTAGGCGCCAGTTCGGATCTCGTCGATGGGCTGTTTCCGTCAGCGCTGGTCGATTGTACGACACGGTATCCACGTACAGAGGGGTCCAAGTCGACGAAGATGGAACGAGGGACATATTTGCCACTGCCAGTCTCGGTAAAGAAGGTCTCGTAAGAACCAGTCTCGCCAAGTTCCTTCGCGTCGGGGTTGGGACGACCATCAGGCAACAGGCCGTGCTCGAGGAGGTAACTGAGGCCATGGTGTCAGTGATGGAACGGGTAGTTTGGGGTGCGCGCGTAGCGGGTGCAGTCACATACAGCTCCCAGGCGCTGTTGCCCAGCTGTGTTCCAGCTTGGCCAATGTGAAGGTGGCAGATCTGTGAAGCATAATGTTAGCCTAGAGTACATGTAGCATGTAGTAATATGGCTTTGTTGCGGCGAAGTGAGGGGGCGCCGGGTCGGGGGTGTCGTGTGTTGGACGGGCATGCATGGCTATCCAAGGGCCAATGCAGGCAGACATACCTCTCCTCGCATGGTGGATGGATTTCTGTGTCAAACAGACTGTCGAAAGGGACGTCAGGGTTCCAGCGTCGAGGCTGGAGGGTAGAAGTGTTCTGGGTTCAGGCGGTGAGAAGCGCCGCGTTGGTCGTAGTTTGGTGGGGTCGGCTGCAGGGGCCCTTTGTTTACGCGACGAGCCACTTTGCCCCAATCGTCCACGCCAACCACGCACAACGCCAGCGGCACAGCGGGGGCACTGGTGCACGCTCAGGTACGCCCTCGCATAACAGATATGCGTTATGCATAGGCCTTGTACAACTAGGGTTGCCAAAAAGTAACTATTGTCCAATAAACCTACTATGAAATTAACGCTTTCTAGAACTAGTTGTGCTGTCTTCATGTACAAAAAACCAACCCAGGGATATCTCGTCTATGTGTATGCTAATTAGTCCGGCTCTTCTCATAAAACGCCTTCATGTCCTCACACCCCTTTGGCGTTCGGCATACTCTGCGCGCGTCCTCGGATGCCGTCTTCCATATCACCTCCCGTACCTCTTTGCCAACCTTCTCAATCGCATCCATGGCCCAGATGACGTCCAAGTGTTCGTATCCTTCAATGACTTTGGAGTGCACCACGTCGACATGAGGCTCGCGACCGCGTTCGAACCGACGAAGAAGCCGGGGCCCATCGACAAGATCGTCGGCGCCGCATACCCACAGCGCAAAAGGAGGTGTCCCAGGCCCGTACCAAGCGTAGCGCTCAGCGGCCTTTCTGTCCTCTTCGCTCTCATCACCATTTCTTTCGTCATCACCACTATCTTGCACTTGCACGCTCGCACTCGACTTCTTGCGCTCACGCTCTTCATCCTCCCTGTCCTCGATTGTCTTTTCTTCTCTTGTAGCCAAGATGCATTTTTGCCTTGCAAAACATTCCCGTCCAAGCCACCAACGCATACTCTCTGCACTGACATAGACCGGAGAGAACTGGAAAAGCCGGTCCCTCAGACCACGGTCCCAGCGGGCATCCGTCCAGTTGAACAAAAAGGCAAACACTCGATATCCCATTGCACCATACAGCTTGCCCGGAAGAAGACTGTGCATCGTCATCATGAAGGGGATGAAGGAGTGAATGCCAAAAACCGCCCGGAACATGTTTGGACTGATGACCTGCATGAACTTGAATTGTGCCTTGTCAATGAGACGACCAGCATACGCGGCAGGAGCCAGAGCGCAGAAGACGCTAATCTTCTCGCTGATCTCAGGGCGCTGTTCCTTGGCAAGTGCGACGAGGGTTTGCGTCGTGCCCTGACTATGTGCGATGAGGCCTAGCTTCTCAAATCCAGTCTCCGACAACACACGTGAGATGAGAGCAGGTAGGTCCATCACTCCCATCTGCCGAATGTTCCATGCCCACATGCGAGGATCGCCATAGTCCAACGTCGAATGTCTAGGCTTGAATCCGCACCTGTTATTGCCCAACCAGACGTCGTAACCAGATTTGGCAAGGAAGAATGCAAGGCTATCGTCGTCATTTGTACAGTATGCACCTGCCGACTGCAGGAGACCATGGATCATGAGCACCGGATACTTCTTTTCGCCTGGTTCATATTGCGAGCCAGCAACACGAGTTCTGTCCTCAGGAAAGAGCTCGGGCGAGTGTGGTGAGCGCTGACCGGCATTTGTGCGCTTGTAGTCACGGGGATTGTAGAGATGCCACAGTTCGATGATGAAGCCATCCTCAGTCTGTACGTTGAAGATTTCGCAGTCCAGGCCGACCCGTCGCGCATAGTAACGAGCATCGCAGACGAGAGGATCGCGGCCACCTTCCAGAGGTTCGTACTCTCTCGCTGTTTGCTTGTCACCATTTTCTAGCCCTTTCTCCAGCATAACCTTGTCTTGCTTTCTCCAAGCCTCTTCTGCTTCTCTCCTGGCTTTTCTCCGTTTGACTTCCTCGTTGTAAAAGATACGCCGCTTTTCTGGATCGCGAAAAGTGAGTACCAAGAATAGGTGCTTTAACATGCCTGGGAGAGATGTGAATGCGGCCCCTAGTATAATGACGAGAAGAAACAGAAATGATAGGATGCCAGATGAGAACCTGAAGAACCAGCACTGGCACTGTCTCAGCAGCGTTGGAGGTCCATACATGGGTAATGGTGGAAATAGAGGATTTGTTTTCCAAGGCGCTTTCGCATCTCCCAGAGGCACGTCAGACTTGCCCTCGCCCTCCATTTCGGCTTCTTTGGTCAGGAGTCCATGTACGGTTCCATCTTTTGCTTCTCGCAACCGTGGTGACAAGGGCTTTTGTTGCGTCACATGACCATCCTCGATAATGTCTCGTAGTTCATTGAGTTTTGTCGCTTCCTCAAGGGGCACGGCAGGTAGTCGGCGCCCATCTGCAGTCTCGATTACAGGATCCTGCGGGGTTACAAAGTGCGCTTCAATGGCCTGCGTAGAGCCGGTTGTCTCATTTTCCTGTTCTGGCGTATACTGTCCTAGCCGTTCTGCTTGCAGCGCGAATTCGACGGCTGCTTGGGTCTTTGATTTGTTGTCATCTTTTTCGTGGTGAAGTCGTTTCTCAACACAATGCTTGACAGCAGTCGCCGTAGACATGTTTGGTTAAGTGGGACCCCGAATTATGTAATGACAGCCTGGTGGAGAAACCAGTAGGCCGTGGAGTGGTGCGCTATCGGTTGAACAAGTAGTCTATCGGGAACCAGTTGTAAGACAAACGTTTCCCAAGGAATGGCATGTGGGTGGGTAGCGAGAGAAAGGGTTGATGCATGGCAGCTTTTGTGGGTGTATTGTGGTGGGCGATATAGATCAGCGCACGCCTTGGTTGGAGCAGTCATTACGTCAGATGTAAATAGAGCATGGTGACGATTAGCGAGGGTGTGGGAGATTGACGCATCTCAACAAACAAAGTCTGGTATCCTGATGGCAAGGGGAGCGAGAGATATTAGCAAGATACGCGTAAGTATTTGCCCAAGATAGCACATGGCAGCGTAAAGCAGCATGCAGTGGCGTTGATTTTGACATATGAGGAGTCTGCGGACATGTCTCCGGCACGTTAATCTCAACGCCCACACATGCTGCGTGATGGATCGAAGCGCACACGTTGTTGAACAAAGCAAAACTGAAGCGCATTAGGAATTCTTCTCTTTAGTTGCTGGGTGTACCGGATATGCTCGAATGGATACTGCGTGCGATGGCAGGCGCTCTTGACGATGGATGACACGTGACATTCGACCAATAGCTGTAGGCTGATATCGTATCAGGCTGTATAACAGTAAAACTAGACCTCTTATTCTCAAGCGGCCAAGTGTATGAGCCGCACTATTATCTCGCAACGCTACAACAGAATCGAGTTGGTGGTCCGGTGACGTGGAGAGGGAGTGATGGCAGAGTCGGTGTCGGTGTCCCTAGGCTGACCCCTGTCCTCCGTCCTCCGAGCTGGTAGCCGTCGTTTAGCTCTGCCGAGGCAATACGGCCCATATCAGATCTCCGGGCGAATCGTATGCGCACCAAACAAAGGGCCTCTGTTGCTCACACCTCTGTCCATTGGGACAGATCTTTATACACAACCAAACATGGACGCGCCTAATGGATCACAGAACCCGCGAAAGAGGCGACGGAGAAGGCGCCTTGACCGGCCTCCTGTCTCGGCGCGACTACTGCTCGACGACCGCATCAAGGGCGAGGTCGGCGTGTTGTCTGAGGATCTCTTCAACGATCTGTTTCCTGCCTCTAAAAGCAAGAATGCAGGTAGGTGGAAGAAGCAAACTACAAGTCACTGGCGGAGAGAAGAGTCGGCTAACCAGGGTAGAAACGAATGGAGACACCCCAGACTCAGACCGCATCCGACACGTTGCCATCACTCCGTGGCTACCGAGCTCCGTCGTCGCTTCAAACAACATTCCGTGGACAATCTTTCCGGTGCGACCGGCTGAGAAGACTGAGAATGGCACCGCGCGCCCCCACTCATCCCTCCACATTCCGGCCTCATCGCTTGCGCTGCAGTCCTTCTCCCAAGTCCTCCAGACCGTCGCCCCAAATAGAGCGCAGAGGAGAGATGCGCCAATTGAGGTGCGCATCTACGATGTTGTACCCGTCGGCCTGGACACACTCTACGTGAATTTGGATACTGAAGCACTGAGGAAGCTCGATGAGGTGCACGCCAAATTTGGCGGGGGGTTCCTTCCTCAGGTCAACGGCACCTCGCGCGTACCAAAGAATCGCTCCCTGGAAGCCAACGGCACAAGGGGAAAGCAAGTCGACGTGGCTGCGCAAGAAGAGGTTTGGCGGAAGGCCGTACGCGAAGCCCTACAGATACCCAGCGTCCTTCATACTGGCGACTTGCTCCCCTTGAACCTCCCTGCCCACCCAATCACACACGTTCCGCCTCCTCCAGCTAGGATTACTGCTTGCGAGCCCGTCTCGCAAGGTCTTCTTTTGCCAAGCACAGGCATCGTAATACTGCAGTCACATCGCAGCAGCTCTAAGCACCCCGTCATTCTTCCCCCTGTGAAGCAGACTGCAAATGGCTTCGGCGATGAGGATGAGGCCGACGATACTTCAAATGATACCTTCTATTCCGCTGCCGAGGATCGCCTCGATTCGCGCAATGTGTCTCCCCCAGAAGAGTCGACTGACAATTTTGAGTCGGAACTGTCGGAGAGTGATGCCGGCGATTTGTCCGACGAATCCGACGACATCATCTCACTGAATGCACCCATGCTGCCACCTCAGTCCTCAGGAGTGCTTTCATCCTATACCTCCGCTACTCCACGGCCTGGCAACTACCGTACAAATGGAATTGCCACCCCAGGTTCGGTGTATTCTAGCTTCACAGCTACTACTGCCCGTGGACCTACCAATAGGAGCAAGGTATTCAAAGCCCAGGGGCTGCTTCAAAAAGTTCCAGATGACCTTGTCTACCCAAAGCCAGGGACTGAAGATGATGAAGAGGCCCGCGTCTTTGTTGACATTAACACCCTGGTCAAGGTTGGTTGCTTCTCTGGCGACTGGGTCAAGATTGAGGGTACTGAAGCGCCTTCTTCGCATCCTCTTTTTGGCTTGGGCGCTTTTGGCGGAGTAGACGACGAGGACAGCTCCAACTGGAGACCTGTTCGAGTCTTTGGTCTGCCAGAAAACATGTCCAAGAAGGTCGCACGCTATCCAGTGCAAAAGAACTCGGAGCTTGACCGAAGAAGCAGTTTCTCGGGCTTTTCGCAACCAGTCTCATCACTACATGCCTATCTCTCGCCAATCCTTCTCGCCAATCTGGGAAGTCCGTCCCACCTCCGCATTACCCCGCTAGCCCCCAATCAATCATCACATCTCCCAAGAAGTGCAATCCAGAAACCTCGTGTAACCGGCTCGTCTTTACCCCCCTCTGCCAAAGAAGTAACCCTTCTGAAAGTGTCAACACCACTGTCTTCTGAGCGTTTGCTTCAGCCTAGTCTTTTCGCAGCCTTGAAAGATCACTTTGAGCAGAAGCGAAGAGTCGTAAAGAGCGGCGATCTGATCGGCGTTTCGATTGATGAGTCTCTTGGTCGAGCGGTTTTCCAAACCAGTACGGAGGACGATGCTGGGAATGAAGAACTGCTTACCAGAGCCAAATCAAATGCCAGCGAGGAGAGTCCTGGTGTCAGCAGTCGGAACTCAAAGGTCGTTTCATGGTTCAAGATTGGCAACGTTTCTGCTTCTTCACATCCGGCTCACGATGGTGAAGAACCGGACATCTGGGGTGGTGCTGTAACTGTGGACGCTGCAAGCACGAAGATGGAGATGAACGGCAGCGAACAAGGCAAGACTCCGGCTCCTATCAACAACGCATGGCAATATTACCTAGGCGCCAAACGGGCTCCAGTCTCAAGCTCCCAGAAGACGATGACATTGGACGAGCTGCCCAAGCCCTACATTTCGCCGCTTCGCAGACGGTTGCGGGAACTCATGTCTGTGGCGACGAGTCCTAGGGCCATCCACTTGGGACTACCTCCAATTGCAGTATTGATTACCTCAACCCAACGCGGCATCGGCAAGGCTACTATTGCTACCAAGGCTTGTGAAGATCTTGGCTTACACACCTTCTCTATTGATGCGTTCGATATTGTCACAGAAGGAGGTGCTGGAGGTGGTGATGTCAAGACTGAAGGATTTCTCAAGGCAAGAGCCGAGCGAGCTTTGACATGCGGCGCGGAATTCACAGCGTTACTTGTGAAGCATATCGATGCGCTGAATGCGGATCGCATGAATGCTGCATTGAAGGAGATCTTGGCCGATTGCCGCGTGTTGATTGCGACAACCACAGAAATCGACAAGGTGCCTGAGGGCATTCGAGGACTCTTTACACATGAAATCGACATGACAGCCCCGGACGAAGGAGAGCGAGAAGGCATACTGAGGAGTATCATCGACGACTCTGGTATCAGGCTGTCTCCTGATGCCGACTTGGGCAATGTTGCAGTCAAGACTGCAGCGCTGGTCGCAGGGGATCTCGTTGACGTAGTCGACAGGGCTTTGGTTGCAAAACAACAGCGTCTCGAAGCGCTTGCAGCATCCGCGACAAAATCGTTAAAGTCAGCAGAAGCGGTTACGATTCGGGATATCGAGCTTGCCGGTGGTCATATGAGCAACAGTCTTACCAAAGCAGACTTGGACGGGGCCGTAGATGCAGCACGTAAGAACTTTGCCGACGCAATCGGAGCCCCGAAGATCCCGAACGTCGGCTGGAAGGATGTCGGTGGTCTTACACACGTCAAGGATGCTGTCATGGAAACCATTCAGCTCCCGTTGTCTCGCCCAGAGCTGTTTGCCAAGGGCATGAAGAAGCGCAGCGGTATTCTATTCTACGGACCACCAGGAACGGGAAAGACCCTCCTTGCAAAGGCCATTGCTACAGAGTTCTCGCTCAACTTCTTTAGTGTCAAAGGTCCAGAGTTGCTCAACATGTATATTGGTGAGTCTGAAGCCAATGTGCGGCGTGTATTTCAACGAGCTCGCGATGCACGACCATGTGTAGTGTTCTTTGACGAACTCGACTCGGTCGCCCCCAAGCGTGGCAACCAAGGTGATAGTGGTGGCGTCATGGACCGCATAGTCAGTCAGCTCTTGGCTGAACTAGACGGCATGAGTGACGGGGGCGAAGGTGTCTTCGTCATCGGTGCAACGAACCGACCGGATCTGCTTGACCAAGCGCTGCTACGTCCCGGTCGCTTCGACAAGATGCTGTACCTAGGTGTCTCAGACACCCATGAGAAGCAGCAGACCATCTTGGAAGCCTTGACAAGAAAGTACGTGACTAGAGTCCTCTCCCAGTCTTGCTTATGCTAATATATATTCCAGGTTCACACTACATCCCTCGCTCTCCCTACAGCGAGTATCTGAAGGTCTTCCCTTCACCTACACAGGTGCTGACATGTACGCTCTATGCTCGGACGCCATGCTCAAGGCCATTACTCGCAGTGCCCGAATGGTCGACGACAAGGTCAAAGCGTACAACAGCACACACTCATCCAACGTCACCATTGCTTACTTTTTTGATCACATTGCTACCGAAGAAGATACGGCAGTTATGGTCACAGAGGAGGACTTCATGGAGGCCCACAAGGAGCTCGTCCCTAGTGTTAGTGCTGACGAACTCCGTCACTACGATCGGGTGAGGAGGCAATTCGAGGGTGCTGGCAAGAAGGAAGAGGACCAGAAAGCAAACGGCTCGGCATCCCAACAATCATCAAATGGGAAAGGAAAGGGAAAGGCGATCGCAGTCGATGATACCGACAGCATGGTTATCATGACCGAGCACGTCGAACTCAATGGCGACGGCAAAGCAACCAGTGGCGGTAGCAGC